TCTGTCTTAAGGCAAAATAAAAAAAAAAAAAAAAAAAACAACTAAATAGGAGAGCACACACAAAATAATTGTAAAAGATTGTGGTGTGGTACTTGTTCCTTTCCCGTGTTTGTCGAAAAGGCGGCTAAAAGAATTTAATAGTCAAGGGATGGAGAGCAATCTCTTAAATCAGCACTAAAGCTTAATTGCGGTTGCCAACCCGCCTGCCAAACATGACAATCACTGGCAAAGCACCACTTATGTGGGAGGCTTATGTTTAACAGTTTTTCTTTTTTAATGGGTGATAATGGAATGGTAATCCCGCCTGCGTTATCGGGATACGCTGGCGGGACACCCGTCAGGGATGATAGGTGAGGATGAAGCAGGTCAGTTGGCCCATCGAGATGAATTCATCAAAAATTAATCACGATGGTTTCATGGGAGAACCGCGTGGAGGTCGGAGGTATATTGCTAGTAATAGGTCCGTTGGATCTCGTTACTAACAATCCCTGTTCCCCCCTATGTTTAGCTTATATGAAGAATAAATCTTCAAAACATTTCTTCAAGGTATCGATTTTTTAATGAAATCTTAGAAATTACGGTTTTTGTAGAGATTACAAAATTTTATTTCACCAGCGGGTAAAGTATTCAAGGCAAAAACTATGGAAACAGAAAAATTTATATCGTAAATACAGATGTACATATTTGGACAATGTTTAATACATAAAGCGCTGCTATATACGAGTAAATATCCGTATTTATTTTTTTCTAAAATTTAAGAAATTTTTTATTTAAATACCTTCAAGTAGATTAAATTATTGTCTGGGACGATATCGTCCGTGACGGTTGTCGGTGTGAAAAAAAAAACACACACGGTTGGCGGAGGGTTAAAGATGACTTTTCAGTGTAGCTACTGTGGATATTCTTATTGTTACCAAACAATTAAGTTTCATCTCGATATAACCATTTTTGATATAAAGCTGTCTTAAAATCAGTCCATATACTTCACATTATCAGATAGATAAACGCTTCAAAATTGTAACATTTTTATCTAGATCTATGTTGCTTATTTATTTATCAATATAGATCTAGACAAGTACCTAGTTTTCTAGACTATCTACCTACTCACATTTAATATTACGAATTAAAAACAAGACTGAATCACAATGGCCGACATTACACGAAGGCTGTAGTCGTTTGCGCATCGTGAGATATCTGGGTCGGTTGATAGAAATAGGGTAGCCGACCCATGTGAAACCGTACAAGCAGAATAAGTCGGTGTATGGTAACTTGATATCTGTAAAGCACGGCGATCGTAGGTTAACCTACTAAAAGAGAAAGGCCTCGGTTATATATCCCGTTGATAATATCAGACAGGTCAAATTTTAATGGTGGACAGGTCATATGTGCAATTGCTTAAACAAAAGAGGCCGACGTGTGTACAGTGGAACGAGGTATACATAAATAAACAAGTGGACATGCCTGACATGAAACAATTGCAAAAAAACCCGACTTTAAATTTTTTTGCAATATGGAAGGCAAACAAGCTGACGACGGATCTGATGGAAAGTGGTAACCGACAGCGTTAAACATGAACAAAACTTGTATTGTACCCGACGCTACCCTGTTCACGATACTCCTCATTTCCAAATTACTCTATCAGAAGACCAAGCTATTGTAACTTCTTATTTATTGCTTTTCAAACTGAAAAACAACTATGCAAGCAAACTGGTGGCAGAAACATAAGCGCAACAATTGTGTAAATACAAATGCAGGCAATTTTTGTCAAAATCTTCTTAAGATAGTCATTTCTGAATTAAAAATTTCTGAAGTTGTTTATTGATAGTCATGACGAAAATGACTAAGACAATACAATAATATATTTTGAATTTTATATTTTAATAACTGTTTAACATAACATTGCCACAATTTTTTTGAATCCAATATTAAACCATTTATTGAAATTCATCCAGCTTATCAAGATAGTGCTGGATGTGAACACTATTGATAAGACCATTCCATCAAATTAAAGCAGCTAGCTATAGTAAGAACTATGCCTGGAGTTTCTCTGAGGGATTGTATTTGAATTGAAGTAATTCAGCAGTTGGACAAATAACCGACATAGCGCAACATAATTGCAAGCTAATAAGATAGTCAATTGGTAATATTTGATATACAACCAATAACAGTTGAAATAGAAGTGTTCCAGAGTGGAGACCGCGAATCGAATGTATTGTGCAGTAACTTACAGCTAGGTGCAGCGACAACAGATGCAGGATGGCCGGTAATAGCTAGAAGTCAAGAGTCGAAGATCGTGTCCAGTGAGATTGGGGAGGGCCGGCAGTAGACTACCGTTGGATGATTATGATAATTTGATCAGAGATCAGGTCACAACATCCATTATTAGCAAGGTAGGTAGGTCTTAAGCAAAATGCGACAACGCGAAACGGGTCTCGAATCAAACTAGTTAGCATGACTAGAATAATAACGGCACTAGTTACTTATAATGACGAGCAGTAATCGATTTGATATTTACAAATTACGTAATTATTGGAGAAAGAAATCAAATGCTAGAGTAGTTCGATGGATTTAATTAGTTTGAATTTTAATAGGAGACCGTCTGACATGATTCACTAATTAAGATTCGATGACATATTTTGTAATAAGTTTTATTTAATATTTATCAAAGATGATTCAATTAAATTATTCATTCAACTTAATCAGAACGCGACAGATATTATATTCCGATGCAAAAATAACTGTTCTGTTTCATTGTTAAAATAATATCAGTTTTATATTTGATTGATAAATAATGAATTATAATGCTAGAATGAATCTCCATCCTATAAGACACTATATTAATATATAAAAATCTTAACCTTGGTAATAAAATTTTGTAAATGTATATTATTTACTCTAACTACAGAGATAGGATATTTTTTATTTATTTATTCTTTATTGATCACATAACAAAAAAATGTCTGGTACAAAAGTCGGATTTAATACTATATAGCGTTCTCTCCCAGTCAACCTTTAGTAAAAATGTAATTATGACGGTGAAAAAATTGAAAATTGTTGCAAATTAACAATTACACGTACGTATCGATATTTACTTAAAAATCACAACGCATACATTGGAGAACTACTGCACATTACGATTATATAAATATACATACATGTATACATTTTTAATATGAAGATATTTTTTATCCTGATAAATGAGCTATAATTGATAACAAAGCAACGTTTGCCGGATCATTTAATATACTACTACTATAATTACAAATGAATCGAATGTGTCACTAATAACTAAATAAAAACAATAATTTATCAAGTAAAATCAAAAAGAGTTACTAGATTAAGCGAACGATTCCTCAAAAGAGGAAGTAGGTTTAATAATTACAGCATTACATGTTGTTTACTAATCATCAGTGACTGATGATCAGTCTAAAGTTAATTGTCCATTGCTGAATGTAGGTTTCCCACAAACACTGTTATAAGAAACGGTCCTGCACCACCTTCATCCACTGTCTACACGCAACGCATTTGTGGTCATCACTAGTTAAATAATAGAATATTAATTGAGTGTAGATAATTATCATAACATTGTTATGAAAGAGGTTTGTTTGAATCGAAGTATTTGGCATTCCATTGTTTTTGACTATCATAATGGGAGATAGGCGTGACAGATATGTATGTATATATGTAAAATTGTTATGTATTATAACAATTTTATAAAGTCTTTATTGAAGAAGGAGTCGAGTCTCTGGTACTGACGTATACGCAGAAGATGACGTGTATAATACATCTTTCTTTTTTTTTATTATTTTATCAGTAGTATTTCGCGGCTCACTTTTGGCCACAACAGAATATCAGTGTTTTGCTCTTTTCAGGGCAAAGCAAAAATCTGAGTTGTGGCCATTTTGTATTACTGTGGCACATGCATAAAGACAAAAAAATTGTTACTAATTTTATGCATTCTGATTTTGATTTTGTTTTTATTTTTTATTTTTTGTACATGTATCTTTTTATTATCTTTTTTCACTTTGCATTTGTGTCTGCTGCTGTTTATGTTAAAAATTCATATTAAAAACATTTGAAGTATTCTCTTGATTGTATATATCTATATTATTATATAGGTAGATAGATATTTGATTGTACCCGTACAAGGTCGTTGTTTCGATGATAATAATAATCATTAATAAATATTATTTAACTCTTATCGTTGTACCAATTTTGCGCGATATGACAATGCTTTTGTCACTGTTGTGTAACATTTGGGCTGACTAATTAGTTTCTAATTAATATTTAATATTCTGAATACCAGATAGGAAGAGAGAATATAACTGAATGTCAATGGCCTCATACCTATCTATCTAAAAGTTCATATAATTTCCTGAACAAAAGATTGCGACTCTGCAAGAAATTTCTTAATAAGATATCATTCATTTTTTATAATAAACGTAAATAAGATGTCTCTTTTTAATATCATTATAATTAAGGGCGTCTTAAGTGCAATAGAATTTTACCATTGAAATTGTTTGAACTCAGTCCCAACATACTGTATGTTACGTTTATAAGCACATCGTAAACATGAAAGGAGAGGAATTGCGGAGTACTCATATTTACAAATATGATAGATATCAGTGTTTATATTAAGAATTACTATATCGTAACATCTTTCATAGCCTTTACCTTGTATATCTGAATGTCAATCTAATATGAGAAATATAATACTTAGAATAACTGTTTAAGGGTAAGAACTGAACTTATATACTGGTTGTAACCAACAGTCCTGTGTAAAATTAAAAACATAGTACAATGCTTCGTAGAGTTACATATTTTTTTTCTTTATTAGCGGTTTATGCAGTTACACATTGGCTCGCTTGCCAGTATAAATTTTTATTTAAATAAATTTGAAGGTTTTAAATCTTTAGACATTGTAAAAGACATAAAAAAAATTCATTACTTTATTATTGACGATTATGATTAATTATTGAATAATTACACCAAAAACTTACGGCCATGTTCCAGATCTCCTCTGCCTGTGACTCTTGGTGGGTTGTGGCTCGGGAGCATGGAGCAAGCCCTGGGGAATCAGACTTTTGGTTGTCTTTCGCCTGGAAAGTCTGTATTCCGTTCTTTCGATAGCGCTCTTGCAAAGCCTCAAAGTCGACAACTCACTCTCTGAACCGCACCACAACGAATCCATAGACAACATTTTTAAAGTTTCAGTTTTAAAACATCACAGAACAAGTAAAGAAGATACTTTTAACGTTTTCAAATTTAGAATGTCTTGTCACACATCACTATTGCAGCAGTAATAAAATAGTGGTGAGCAGATACAGTATTCGAATTTTAGAACGTTCAAATTCAAAAGTTAAGTAAAATTTCACAATCGGTTATGTTTTGGGCACGGCAACCTTCTGCTGGCGAGGCGGCGTATGAAATCGCATTGCAAAATTTCTGACACATGAAGCCTGCTCGACTGGATGTTTGATCGCAAGGCTATGCGGGAGGTGCAATTTGTGAATTATTGAGTTACACGGAAACGTGAGCGGCGCGAGCCATGTGCTGGCCGGCTGCGAACGTACGTGAGAGCTCGCGTGGTGCGACCGATCGACTGCACTGCTCCACGACTCTACCAACAGCCGGCGACTACACAGCCGATAGCCATCGGACACGGCAACATCGAGTGCTCAAAATCGCAAACAAAAGCTGTCTGGACGCCGTTATCGTTGCGATTAGTCAAAGCAACAACTCTTGACCTGAATCATTGTATGACACGAATTCGTGGGTCATGCAAATATGGATGTGGCATAAAAATTACGAACACCAGAAAAAGCTTTTTCTTGTAATTGATAAAAAGGGATATAATTCTATCGATATTGTTGTAGTGTAGAGTTGTATTGAACAAATAATTATTTTATTTGAAGGAATATTCTTGAATTTTATTTTATTCGTCTCTTATCACATATATCGTAGTCGTAGGCGAGGTTATCAATTTGATGGATGATCGGACGACCGCGGTCGCGCCTCGCGTGTTTTTAAATAAAGATTGTTTACATCTTTATGTATATATTTAATATGTTCTATGATTATTAGTGATGGGAAATATAAAACACACATAGGTATGTAGAAAACTTTGTGTAAACATTATAAGAACAATTGTATAAAGTACATGTTTGTTTGGTGGAAAAGCAGTGTTACTGATGATCCGCCAAAGTTGTCCCCGCACCCAGACACAAGCTCTACCATATCATTGTCATACAATAAAAAATAGTGACCTGCATTTTAAATCCGTTTAAAATATTTTTATATTTATCTAATATAAATACAGTTCGTTTATATAAATAAATGTAATTTCTAGGTTCTGTCGAACAAACGGTATGTAAATACCTCTCCTACAATACCTACTCTTATATTTGTTTGTATCTATAAAAAATTTACTATTGTAATCTTTTGGAGGAAACAATAAAGAGTATCTATATATCTATCTAAATACTTACTGAGTTTTATTAGAAATTATTACAAAAATTGTGTCTATTTCAGATCCGAATCAATGTAGACCGTATTATGAAAAATAAGAAAGACAACGCAGTATTATTACATTACATTACATTTTATAAAAATTACAATTCCTCAAAAGTGGAAACCCATGGTAACCAAGATTACAACAATTCTAGTGTTGTTAATTCTACTGGTGATGGTGGTGACTTTCTATGAAGAGACATAGGGAAATTCAATTTTTATTAATCTATTTATATACACTATTGTATTTAAACTTAGAAAATTTACATAACCGCATAAAACGAAAAACGCATAAAATATATGAAGTGGTCTAAGAATAGCCAATAATGTAGTCGATTGCAGGAAAATATATTAGCGCAATACGATCAGGGTTGTCAATTTCATATAAATTGTGTGCTAAGTGGAGAAAATTGAGCACGGAAAGGCTCGCGAAGGAATGAATTATGAATAATTTGCATAGCAAATGAGCTGTATATTAACAACATAATTATAGTGCATATGTAATGGTAACAGCCTTTACAATGTTCACCGTTGGAACATGACCTCCATTCAACTCGAAGCCCTCTCCGAGTGCCTATACAGGATTTGTACTAGCCGTGCCCACCCCAAGATACAAGCGGAGTATTTACTAAGCACAAAGACACATCTGGGAGTACTTAATGTGCCTTTTTTAAGGGGTCAGGTCTCTCCTGGAAAATAAATACGTTAAAAGTCTAGCCAGTATAGTAATAGTAGGTTGATCTTAACAATACATCAAACGCAGTGGGGACCCGAACGAGTTTCAAATTCTTATATTGGATGCTATAATATAAATACCAGAGTTAAACAAATTTTTATTTCTTATAACTACAGTACTAATGGGGTAGTCGGATGTATTTGTCGATAGTTGCCTTTACGTACTCGTAAATTATTTATAATTTTATTATTTATTAATTATTTATTAAATCAATTAAATTGATTAAAATTTGGAAATTTCCATCTCTTGTTTGTTGTTGTGTTTGTATACTATATACATATGTTGTATATTATTTGATAATGTAGCATATATAAAATGTACTTTTATTTACAGTACTTTCTATGCTACACAGAAATTTATCGTATTCAATTGTGACAACCCTGCGGTAGACAGTAATTTACGAACGAAAGTGTTTGGATAATTAAACAAGCACACACACGAATAGCACTCTCAGAAAATCTGGAAGTAAGAATAAAAGAGAAAGTTGGTATACTCAGCAGCTCCACTCATGTTGAAATATATTACAATGTATTCTAGCGGGTACAGATTCTGTTCTCTTACAATAGATAGTATAAATATAACGTGTATATATAGTCTAAATATAAAAAAAAAAAAATCTTTATATATATCATGAAGTAATTGTGATATTTTTGTTTTTTTCTCTTTTTTTGCTTTGTTTATATATTTTTATAATTATATTATTATAACATTGCATATATAAACATTACATTTCTATTTTCTTAGAAATTTCAAATTTAGATATATCACAAAACATTGTGCACAACGCACCTTTGTGGTTTCTTTTTTAATTAAAAAAAAAAATCTTTATATATATCATGAAGTAATTGTGATATTTTTGTTTTTTTCTCTTTTTTTGCTTTGTTTATATATTTTTATAATTATATTATTATAACATTGCATATATAAACATTACATTTCTATTTTCTTAGAAATTTCAAATTTAGATTTATAGAATACAATAAAATATGGGTGCAAGACCAAAAATGTGTGCGAATGACAGTCCTCTCTACCTATTTTTAGCTGGTATAGAATTATAGACTTCTAATGCAATAATCTGTATTCAAGCAAATAAAGTTATCATTCATTCATTAAAAAAATATGCCTATGTTAAATACACACATTTGCCTGCGTGAATTAGAACAAAAAGACGCTCCGCAATAATTTAATTTTATTAAAATTCGTTCAGGCGTTTAAAAAAAGAATTGGATAGTAAAGAATGATCTACAAACATCTTTACAAACTTTTATATTTATAACAAATGGTTCAGTATGTCTAATTAAACGTCGACAGCATTTCGATGTTATAAGAAATTAAAATCATAGTTGAGTATTAAAAATGACATGGTATGACAGACGGTATCGACGGCATCTTGGTCCAAACAATATTCGCAAATATGTATTGTAACGTTAAGGCATATCGTTTAGTGGTGACGGTTATTTATCAACCAAATTCGAAAAAGGATATTCTCAATTCGGTGGTATTTTTTTTTTTTGTTTGTTACCTCATAACTCTGTCAGTGATAAACTAATGAACTTTTTTTGGATTTTTTTTTTACCTAAAAGGTAAACGAAAATCGGTTTAGTAGTTTAGGTTCGAAATTAAAATAACAGGTTTTACTACGATTTAAGTAGATTTTTTCTTGTGGAATACTATCTTAAATTATTATGTAATAGAGTTATTTGCGTTGTCGATTTCCACCTATAACTGTGTTATTTTTTAATGTGTGAAAATAAAAAGGGTGGCAGCACACTTGCAATATCTTTAGTGTTGTGGGTGATCACGGGCGGCGGTAGTCACTTACCATCAGGTGAGACACATACACATGCTCGTTTGCCCCCTGTGTTGTAAAAAAAATAGAATGGTAACCCCAGTTGCGGTATTGGTACACACTGGCGAGGAATTAGTGAGATATGATAGATGAGGATGAATGCAGGTGTCTGTTAGCATCTTGTGACGAATTCAATAAGAATTAATCACGATGGTTTCCAGAGTGAACGGCGTGGACCGGACAAGATACATTGCTAGCAACGGGGCTATTAAACCCCATTACTAACAATTACTTTCCTCGCTACATTTGTAGTTACCAATTTCTAGCAAGTGAACAATCAGTTTACTAATTTAAATTAATTATTAATGTAAATAAAAATGGATTCCCATACAATCTATTTTATACGTGGAATGATTATAAGCTATTGGTATTTCCGCATAAGTGTAGGCCAAGAGTCAGCGTCCTGAAAGTGGCGCATTCCTGAGGAGTCATTACATGAGTCAGGCAAACTAGACATATTTTGACACAGCAAATACTATAGCAGTATATATCAAACCATTTTAAAAATAATAGGGTTCATTTTAAGCGACTTATAAAAGGAGTTTTTTTTAATTTGTCAGTATTTTTTTGTGGTTACGTTACGCGATTCGGTTCCAATTCTAAATCAATCTTAATAAATCTTTATACATTATATACTGTGACAGACGGACGGATAAATTCAAGCACGACTTCTCTGTGAAAAATTAATTAAATAAAAAAAAAAATTATAGTCATTGTAACTCAGGATGATGTAAGGATTCTAACGATACCAAATACGTCCACATCTGTTCAGACATTTAAAAGTTATGGTGGAATAAAGAAACCCACAGACATAGCATCCAACAGGTATTAATTACCCATTGTTGAACATAAGCCTCCACCATAGGCGGAGGTTTTGTTAGTAGTTGTCATGCTTGGCAGTTGGTAACCGCAGTTAGGCTTTTGGTGATTTTTTTCAAGAGGGACGCTGTTGCTCATCCCTCGACCATTAAATTTTCTTAATCGTCTTACGGGAAAGGAAGGGTTGGACCATTTTATGTTGAACCATATGAATAGAGTTCCCTTATATTCATTTTAATTGTTGAACTACTATAGAGTGCATGACGAGATTAAAAAAAAAATCTTCACGCACGCACAATCGTAGTCACGTCAACTTGTTAATTAATTTAATTATAGATATGGAAATGCTACAATCAGATTACTTTTAGTTATACATAGAAATATATTGATGCATACTTCCATAACTCATGTCTCGATATAGTAAGGATTCGTAACTTAGTAGATACTCTCACTCATGTTTCGATAGATCAACCCAATTTAGTCACCAAATATATATAACTCTTGGACTACTGCTAGCCTTATTTTTATTGTGCGGTGTGGTAGGTCTGCCCAAACTGTGTCACAGGAGCAAACGCATGGGCTTGTTGCCACGCAACATTCATGGCCGAATTGGAACAATTGCTACATTTTAACCTACAAAAATTAACTGAGTAGTACTTAATATTAATAAG